CCAGTTTTGATGTATGGTTTGGATCATTGCCCTGTTGGAATATGGAATTGTGTTTAAGTTTCAATCATCATCATAATTTGAGGTAAAAGTAGAAGAATTTGTAAATACCACTGGCAGCAAAACAGCCCTAAAGTGTGATCCAACACTATGCCAATTTTACTTTAATATGAGATATTTAATATTTAATATGAGCTCTTAAAAATCTCATAGTATCATATTATCCCAATATTATCCCAGTAGAGCACTAAACCCTTGGAATGAAGACTTACTCATGGTTTCTAGAGTATCCAATATGGCAGGAAGAGCCTGCAGCTCTCTCTCTTGTGGAAACAGCTCCTTTGGATTCAGGAGACAGATACTCTCTAGTTTTAAAATTAGATTTCAAACTTGATAACGCTTATAATTAGGGGTAAAGCAGGCTTCCTTCACTCCTAATGCATTTGGATGCCACTGCAACATGTGAATCATTTTTGTATAATCTCTTCCATAAAGTTTGTTTTGTCCTTGTCTGCTATGCTCCCCTTTTGTTTCTTCTCTATTGCCTCACCCCGAGTCCTGTTGTGGCAGATGAGTGCCCCTCCCTGAACATGTCATGCTTTAGGTCACTTTTTGTAAAAAGGGAGTTCTTCTTTCCCACGGTAGTCAAGTGCTTCCTCGTGGGGATTCGCCAATACATTCTGTTTGTGTGCATCTCACGGAAGTAAAAACAGTAAACATTAAATAAGATGTAATTATTAATTCATTTAATGTGTACATTTACAGATTTATATCACGGGCTATCGTAGAATTTGGGGATCTTACATTTACGTGTTAATCACATCACGTCACACAGGGACCGGAAGCACTAAAGAGAACTGCCGGAAATTCCTTTTGTTGACCATCGGATTTTTGTTTTCAAGCTCTTTTTTACAACTACTCTTTAGCTATTTTGTCGATTTATGAGTTGTTTTTTGAGTATTCGCGTGGAACACAGATACATTTCCCGTTTACAAGACTGGAAGATTTCTCGTAGTAGCTGAATCACGCCCTTGTTTGAGTCCGCCCGAGCTAGGGCTAACGTTAGCCTTGCATTTACCGGAGCTCCGCTAGCCAGCTTTAGCTTGCATTCGCTGTCACTTTAGCTGTCATAAAAGTCAGCTGTTAAGACGCTTAACTTATTTATAAGAAAAGTGAAAATAAACACCTAAGGAACATGGCAGTAGTCAACGAAAGTAACCTGAAGAAAATGCTAAAGGTAAGTTTGAGCTTGAGTGTTGACTGTTGAAAACCGATAGCGAATTAGCTCATAGCGTCCTGTTTGACACTGGCTAACGTTAGAAGCCAGTTTAACATTTCCTGGTACGGTTTTGTTTAATAGACAGTCAATTTTCGCAAAATTTTAGATAATAAAGTATCTTAAATATTGTTTTGGTACAATATATTGTACTAAATTAGATTGAGGCATAACTGTGTAACCATAGAACACACAGTTGCACATATTATTAATTGAAGTTACTTTGGTTAAAAAATGAGACCACAGTTTTGGAGGTTACCGTAGACCTGTGTTTATATTGCCAGTCGTGTTCAGAATACTTTAGAGAATTGTTTATTACCAGGTTTGTGATGCATCGGTGGGAAAAAGCTAATGACTCTCAATCAGTTGCCAGACCAAGGGACTCTATTGACACTGGTCTTAAACACTTCTCTGATAAAAATGAGTTTAATATGGATAATTGTATCCATACTGGTATTGTACTAATTTACGTTCACAAGGCTTTTTAATTGGATTATTCTAATTTATAAGCAAATGTATAGAGGCAGTAAATTTAATCTGTAAGGTGGTTCAAGTCCTGTTTATAGTATGTAGAATTAAATAATGGTTCTTCAAGGTTACCCCTTGGAAATTTTATCTGTGGTGTACCACAAGGATCTGTTACAGGTCTATTACTGTTTTAGATTTGTCTTTTGAACATTTCCTTTATGTACGTGATTCTTATCCAGCTCTTGTAGTTTGTGTAAAAATTCTAAGGATATTGAACTTAGCTCAGTAATAAGAATCTGTTATCCCGCGGTTAGAAGAACAGTAAGCTTGCACTTCATTTGTTGAAGAGTGAAAGTATTATTTCTGATAGTAATAAAAAATAAGCTTTCACAAACGTGGCCTGTCAGTGAAATATAATTCAGTTAACATTAGCTCAACTGACAGTGCAAAATACCTATCAAATAAGTTGACTTTTATTATTAGTTGTATTTTTTTAGTCATTATTCTGGTAATTAAGTCATATATGTTTTTAGTCTGTGAT